GATAATGCTATGAGATAAAAAGTTAAGAAGCTCTTGTTGAACACAACTACAAACCCTTCTTAAATATTATAGGTATTAGTGAAGGAGTAAAACGAAGTTACATTTTTGACACATGAATTCGGTGGCGTATCACGACGGTCATGAAAAAAAAATGAAGGGACAATATGCAAGACAACATTTTTGGATCAGGAAGTTGAGTCGTTTGTAATGGAACAGTTATGATGTGACTACTACTACTTCTTTTACGATGTCAGTTTATATGGAATTGTATTCAGGTATGTAACAGAAGGCGAGACAAAAGTAATTATGAATGGATTAGTAACTGCATGAATGGAGTAATTAGTTACATCCTTCTAAGCCATAAGTAAACAAAACGTTTCGTTTTTCAGGTATATGTAGATTAAGGTTACCTCCCTACCATCATCTTTGCTGTTGAGGGAAGCGATCCTCCCTACTTTTGTTATATTGAGTTGCATAAAATTTGTGATACGTTTCAATATTGCTCTAATATAAGCTCTCTAGTGCACACCTTGTTATTTATTGTCTTTACTATTTCCACGCTACAAGACAATCAAACAGCTGAAGCTTTTTTATTGTGGTTAAGGTATCTACCCATTGCCACACTTCTATGAATATAACTAATAGTAAAGATAGATAGCTGATCAAATGATATGATAGCAAAAGAATTTGAGCTTGCAAAATCTGAATAGGTCAACGTGAAGAATACAGAATATTTAAACGCTAGTGAGTTCGTGATATTAGATTATTTTTAGATTAGTAGAACATGAGCTACAAAATACTCACAAAAATTCAAGAGAACTTGGGTTTTTTATGATCTACAATGGTTGAGCAGCATCTGTGTGTGTGAGTTATCGGTGTTTCTGATATAGAAAATTATAAGGGAAATAGAAGGTTATGGAAATTATGTAACTCTAAACATTAAGGAAATGATGTCTAGAGGTTTTACCCGTGTAGTTTAAACATTTATGGGAAAACTTGAATATTTCAACCGTACTGATTTTATAAGTAGCTATAATAACTAAGTCATTAGTAAATGAATCCCAGTTTCTCGTACGAAACACGTTATTCAGACTTCGGACATTTTCCCTTGAGTAATGAATGTGTTTAACTTTCTTTGTCTGACGTAAGGGTTCACTTTCAAGATTTCTCATAAACTTTAGGTAGAACACGAATAATATAATGATCAGAACTAAAAAATGCAACACGTTCGCGAGTCACGTATATTCCCACATCAGTAATAAAAATAAAATCTAAGTGAGCATCTCAACTAGCGAGGAAATCAACTACATTTTGGTGACCCAGTGATCAAAATGAGCTACATTTACATGTATTAATATCCTCACACATATGCGAAAGTCAGCCACCGAAGGTAGTAACCGAAAATTCGGTGGGTTCGTCGATGAAAACAGATAGTGCGGATCACGTGCTGCCTCAAGTCACACGAATGTTGATAATATAAACTTAATTGTACTTGTTCAAGCGTTTTGGATGGAATCATACCCTATACATGCACCAGCATAAGTTTTGCGACCAACAGACTTAATAGGTGTGCTAAAAATAAAAATGATGCTTACTTGACAAATTATCTAAGTGTTAGGAACAGGTAGCCCGTATATTCAGGCGAGCTTTCGCTCAAATATTTAGACCATACAAACACACTCAACTGACTGCCAAGTTAGCTCACCCAAACACTAAGACCAGTAACTGAATCAATCCGTTTGACGTAATGCAACAAATTCCCTAAGCAAAACATTTAGTCTACTGACAACAGGATCTCCGACACCGGTCCATTTTAAGGTATTTCAGTTACACTTTTAATATTGCGTTGTCAAATAAGTTTATTTGATCGGGAGTATCAAATATGGCAACACCAGAAATTGACTAGAAAGTAAAACTTGAAGTAAAATAGACTAATCTTCGCGCCTAATATGGTGAAATAAGCTTTTATCGCAATGTTTAGGCACAAACATGAAGAATATTGGTTCAAGTCCTTGAACTATTAATTAAACGGAAAGAAATTGAATAGTAGTAGTAATGAAAATAGCAGTATCATTAGCCTAAAGAATGCGGTAGTGGAAATGCACTATGAAAGTAAACTTTTCACTAACATCGGTTCACAATACATTTCTCTCAAATACTTCATTTAGTTGAAAATGGTGTAACATGGTCAACAAAACGCTTATTTAACGTGAACTTATAGTAACTTACTTACTTACGCCTGTTACTCTCAATGGAGCATAGGCCGCCGACCAGCATTCTCCAACCCACTCTGTCCTGGGCCTTCTTTTCTAGCTCCATCCAATTCTTGTTCATTTTTCTCATGTCTATTTCCGTTGCTCGGCGTAATGTGTTCTTTGGTCTTCCTCTTTTCCTTTGACCTTCAGGATTCCATGTGAGGGCTTGTCTTGTGACGCAGTTGGGTGTTTTCTTCAATGTGTGTCCTATCCACTTCCAGCGCTTCTTCCTGATTTCTTCCTCCGCTGAGATCTGTTTGTTCTCTCCCACAGTACGTTGTTGCTACTAGTGTCCGGCCAATGGATCTGAAGTATTTTGCGTAGACAACTGTGAATAAACACCTGTATTTTCTGGATGATGGCTTTTGTAGTTCTCCAGGTTTTTATAGTAACTTAGTTATCATTATTTCAGGTGAGTCTTACTTAGTTTGATTTTGAAGTTTTATCTGAAGTCAACTCATTCTATATCGGTTCAGTTTTGTGTTAAACTATTTATGGTGGGAAAAATTCGCAAACTTACATTTCTCCTACTTATCTTCTATCGGCTGTTAATTTTGATTAATAAGCATGAAATTGATGGTGACGACACACGTTGTGAATACGCGTATTGCTAGGACCGATGAGAACATGAAGTCGCTGGAGAATATCTAGGATCAGAACCAATTCGATCACGTTCCTCGTTTTAACCCTTCATATTAGAATTCTAAAGCTACACGAATCTAAAGATGCCTAAAGTATTTGGAGTTTAGTGATGACTAAACACGTAAAACCTTTATGATCGAGTATATCAACTCAGACATATCGGAAGTGAGAAATGATGAGGTTCGATGATATATCTAGAAGCATTTGCCCTAAGCCGGCTAGTAGTTGCAAGGGATGTGTAGCACGGCATACCCACTCGTTATCTGATGTAACTGCGTATCTGAGCACCTTCAGATAGGGTGGGCCTAATCAAACTAATCAGATTACCATAAGTGTTGAAGACTGACAGATCTATTTACTTTGAGGGATTATTTGTATCTACAGATCGTTCATATGCGTCCTTTCTCACCATTTTTTTCAGATTTGCAATTTGGTGAGCACTACTTTCTTGAACGTCAGTTTAGATTCTTCGTTACCAAAATAAATAGTTCAGCGATTCTTCGACATTTGATGCTGACCTAATTAGCTTTAATGGACACATCTAGCTGAAGGCACTCATTCACGCATGTGCATCAGATCACGTGTGGGTACGCAGTGCTACGCATCTACAACCGATAGCCAGCTAGGTCGAACGCTTCCCTGCATATCAAACCTCTTCACTTCTGTCTTCTGATTTGACTGGGTTGGTATACTACAATTATAAAGGTGTTACAGGTAAAGATGTCGTCAAACTTTGAATACTTGTGGCATATTCACATCACTTGTGTACATGCGTTTTAAAATACCTCGAAGCATGAATGGATGAGACTCACTGCCCTGAGGTTCACTAAGGACAGTAGTTATTAGTGAATCTTCAAAGCAAACCTTCACTCTGTGGAAGTTGACATGTTATCCATCGCAGAAGTTTTATCACTTTGTCTACTTCAGGCAGGTCTCGAAGTTATCCCAACTAGTATATTGCTGCGAGAGCATAATATGAATGGCGATTAGTCCTCTAGCATGCATGATTACGATGTCATCACTTTCATTACATGAAGGATGGAGTCTATCAAACATAGTGTGGCTGAAGTGAAACCCAATTTAAAATTGTACTAATTTCATCGCTTCCGGAAAAACAAATTGCTGAAGTGACGCATTAATCGTTTTACGACATTTCGACCTTCAAGTAATCAGCAACCTCCTACAATGGACAATAGCACTAGATTGTTGCAATGCTCGCTTAGCACATTGGTCTGTCTTCTTTCCCTTCCTTCAGTCATAATATTGCACATCCTGGTTGCTGGACAAACACTTGACAAAAACACTTAGAAGTGCTTAGTGTATTTTTCTCTTTTTATGGTTTGTAAGGTATATACTCACTACATATGTAGCGAGAGCACTTTTGATTAACCAATAGGTTAATGCAACATAAAAATTACGTTCCCATCGTTGGTGACTGTGAATGCCAGCAGCCCACTGGGAAGCAATTGGCTCTAAATCAGCACCCTAGGTTTTGTTTTTTCTCTGGTATTTTTTCAGAGCTGAAAAATACCATTATTTTACTACGAAGCAACCCATAAGTTATCACTTCAAGTTCGTAAATATATTTGGTTTGACCACATTTATTTTGCCTAAGACGGATTTCCAACGCAGCTGTATTGTTCCTAGAAGTTCCCTGCCCGGCATTTCGACGTCGTCCTAGGATTGAGTACTATTTTTTCTTTATTTCGATTGTTACATTTCACTACTTCCACCAATAAGTCGTATTATCAGGTCACAAATTCGGTTAGTAGGTGTCGTTATGTTCTTCATAAATGTCGAGTAAACTCACTGGAATGAATAAACTAAAGAAAGAAATATATTTGTGGTCAGTTGAAAACCCCATATTTGTATAGATTTGTTTCAAATGATTTTTTGTACCTTCAGGGTATTTCAAACTGCCACGTTTATGAAGTTGGGTTGCGTTAGACAGCAGGCTTTATAATGATTTTGTAATAATACTTTTCCCAGAAGGCCTTAGCAGGTTTGTTCATAACCAATGTTACAGTCGTAGTTGTATATTTTTGACCTTGTTTTTACTTTACAAACAGTCAATAGGAACACATCTGTGCATCGTGTTACACAATGTCTCTCGTTGTTGTCGATGATGAAATCGAACTCCGAAGGTTGATAAAAGATGAGCGGTAGTGATCGTTTGAGGTGATATATTTACGTTTCAGAAAACTAGTGGTTTTCTTCTCGTCCCCTAATGTGCCTCAATGCGATCAGGTACATAATGCCCTAAAAACACTTAAGGAAGATACAGTGAATTCGGAAATTTTGTTCGTCCATGTAAGTTGCCCACCGTTTTTTTTCTGGCGAATGCAGAACAGCTGACCATCAGTTAAGGTCGGTTGTTTACAATTCGCCGTACACTAAGCGCATTTGCTCCTAGCCAGCTGTTTCAATACATTAGCTAGGCTCTCATTTAAATGCTACAGTACTAATTATTCACTTACAAATTAAAACTAGTCCTACTAATTTTAGTCTAAAAACCTACTAGTACAATTAATTTCCAGTAAAAGTAACAGTTCAGTGCACTTGTTTCTGTGGTACTATAAAGTTGTACTCTTTGTGCGCTTCCAATTTCTAGGTGGATGCGGAGGCCGTTTCTGAGGTTTCAAAACAACTGAAAATAATTTCTGTTCCTACAGTTTTATTCTTTCAGGTAAGTAATGGACTCATTCTGTTTTCCTGGATTTAATCGGTCACGTTTATCTTATAAAAATAATCTGATGCAACCCAGTAATTAGATACAGGTGCTCGTACTCAGTGTTTGGCCATTTTATGTGACTGGACTGACATCTGGTTTCTCAAACCTAAATACGGCAATTTTGAAAATTAGAGTGACTTAATTACCCTCCAACTAAGCGTATGATTTTCTGCCTTTTTACAAAAATTAATGTCAATCCTTGTCGCTCTCCCAGTATGAAAGATATTACACCGATGTGATGTATTTCTACCTAAACGTGTACAAAAACTCCTATTATAGGACTTTAAGATACCCTTAAGTTCACCAGCTCTTCCCATTAATTGTCATTTTTTGTACGGTGTCACCGATCCTGTAAGGTAGTAAGCTTGTCCTCTACGTTCGTTACCAGACGTCTGTTGAAGAAGCCCACAGACAAAACACGAAAGTCCTTTTGAATTCCAATGACTATTATTTTTCTTAAGATTCCACACATGTAATCGTTGACCGATCAAAACTAATAATGCATGTGAAGTTATTCTGGTGAACTACTTTATTGTAACGTACTTTAGTTATTTTGTAATTCTTTCAAACAATTTCATTCGTATAGGACTTTCTTAACCATCCAGTAAATGAAATGCGAGCTTTATTCACTTGGTAGGATCTTATAAGACTACCCTTAGCGGTCAGACGAACTGAAATACTAAGATCTGGGAACTGGATGTAATACCATCTGAATGGTCTTGATCGCTGACCGTCCCAGTTTATTAGAAAGGATTAAAATTCCCTTCTGATAATCACAGAGGTATCAGGTTCATCAACGTAGTGTCTAAAATATTGACCTCGATTACACTTGGATGTCCAGTTAGAGCTTGTGAAGAGCAAAACCGAGAAATCCATGCTGGTTTCAACCCCGTACGTGGATGTATAGACCAAACATTCACCCTTCAGCAGATTCTGGAAAATAGACAATTTCGACGTTCGACCATAGCTGTATTCCTTGACCTTAAGGCAGTGTTCGACTCTTGTTCGTGAGGTTTATGGTAGTTTGTCACTGGAGGGCGTACCAAAAAAGTACGTCAACCTTGAACAGGCTCCCTACTCGAACACTACTGGTCGAGTCAGAGTTTATGGCGAGCTGTCATCGCAATTGGTTACTTCAAGTGGTGTTCGTCAAGGTTATCTACTCTCCCTATTTTTATTCAACTTTGTCATAGACATGCTTTTAGAGATAACACTCGTCGTCTCACAATTCATGGATTAATCTTTTACCAGGAGATTCACTTGTTAACATAGTTCTGTTTAGCAAAGATGATGACAAAATGCAGTCAGTCAGTCGGCTGCAAAGTAGGACCGGGCACATATATGCATCGGTCCAAGTTGCCACTCATTAGCACAACGAGATGAACACCGAATTCATAGTAGTAGTTAAGTCAATGGTGGTAATATATAAAAGAAAGACTGCACATATAAGGATATAGTACAGAAAGAAAGAATTAGTTTGTAGAAAGAAAGATATGAAGTGATTTTAATCTCTTAGTTTAAGGGAAGATAGGAAGTGTATACACTTACACCATTGTGATCGATTCTGAGCCATGTCACCAAGAGTCTCCAACCATTGGTTACGATGGTTACGCGGACTCCAACCAAGTAGTCTGCATCTACCAACATGGCCCAGATTAGAAGTTAGTGACTTCAAGCACTGATGCCACGTTTTGGTTTGGCCGCCCCTAACTTTCTTCCAACCATCCCGGACACCGGTTAGCATTGCACGTCGTGGTAGTCGGTGTTCGGGCATACGTAACACGTGGTCCAAGCATTTCAGTCGATGAAGATTTACAACCTCATCAACTGATTTACCACCATTCCCTAATATCCTACGTCTAACCTCACTATTACTTACCCGGTGATCCCAGCAGATGCCAGCAATATTTTTAAGTTATCTGGTCAAATACTAGTAGCTTACGGGTATCTTCAACTCTTAATAGCCATGTTTCGCAGCCGTAAAGTAAAACAGAACGAACTGCCGCGCAGTATACTCGTTCTTTTATTAATAGATGGATATCTCGCCCTCGCCATAGGTGACGTAAGTTGGCAAAAGCCAAACGAGCTTTTCGAATCCGTGATGAGATTTCGTCAGACACCAACCCATTAGGGCTGATCAGACTTCCAAGATAAGTAAAGTTGTCAATGCGTTCGACTACTTCACTCCCTATCCTTAGTTCAGGTGTTGACGCAGACCAGTCCTGAAACAACAACTTGTATTTAGAGGGAGAAAAGCGCATTCCAAACATTCTGGCATTGTTGCTCAGTGCTACCAAAAGACTGCATTTTGTCAGCGTTTTCACCAAACAGGACTATGTCATCTGCGTATTCTAAGTCGATAAGTGGACCTTTTGATAGGAGATCAATGCCCGAGAATTCAGTCGACGAGAGCGTTGTTTCCATCAGTAGGTCTATGATGAAGTTAAACAAAAATGGAGAAAGTGAACAGCCTTGACGGACACCACTTGAGGTTGCAAAAGCAGATGACAGTTCGCCATAAGCTCTGACTCGACTGGTAGTGTTCGAGTAAAGAGTCTTCACAAGGTTTATATACTTCTCAGGTACGCCTTTCAATGACAGACACTACCACAGAATCTCGCGGTCTACCGAGTCAAATGCTTCAATGTTTTCTGACCACCTTACGCAACAATCCAAGCATGTTTGGGATGCGGTTTCCTCTCTCCAAATGCGAAATGTTGCATCAGAATTGACTTGTGTCATCACCTGAATTAATGATAGGTAGTAAAGTAGTTGTACTCATCGACCGCTTCACTTATCTTTGGAGTCCCATCAGTCCTGAGGGTCTGGTGTCTGGCAAAATCTCAGCACGGCTTCAGAAAGCTCGATTGGCTTTTTCGAACATGCGTCACTAGTGGCTTAGGTGAGGTATCCGTCTTCCAACCAAATTATGGATTTACTGCTCAGCAGTTCGTTGCGTCCTATTTTGTGGGTGTGAAGCATAGTGATTAAGAGTAGAGGGTATTCGTACTTTACTAGTATTCGATCAGAGTTGTATTTGAAGCATTGTTCGTGTATTCTGAGACCACTGAGTGACCGGTCCTGAGGTTAAGCATTGGTCACTAGACAGACGTGGCAAATTGATTGGTGAGATTGTATATCTTCATCAACTGAGGTGGCTGGGACATATGTGTTGTCTGGTGTAGCAGTAGGCCGGAAAAAAACCAGGGGCAACCAAACCAAAACATTTCATAAATCCATAAAGTCATTGACTATTGGACCTAGCCATGCTAATAGGTTTAGACTACCTGGTTTGCATCTACGTGATCATCATAACCAATGGTTAGAGACTTGGAATGACATGGCTCAAAGTCGTTTGGAATGCCTCAGGTGCACCCGTTTTCTCTTCTACCAATCTATATTTTCTTTTCGAATCGTATCTTCGATGCAACTTGGACTGATGCATATATGTGCCTTGTCCTATGTTGTAGCTGACTGAATATCCCCACTGATACTGTTACTACTCCTTCTGTTCTGGGATTTCACCTGACAATTTCATCTCTCCGCTAATGAAGTGGGGCAACTTGAATCGATGTACATACGTACAAGGTTCTATGTTGTTGCTGACTGGCTGATCGTTCAAAGTTTATCTAAAACTGCAATAAAAGTGAGATCGACTTTTCAGACTAATAATTGGCCTATTCGTCTGGTGTTATTTTATTGAAAATTCGGAAGAAACTCATGCAAAACATATGGCGTTTCATCCAATTTAAAGGTTCACTGGTTATTTATTCTGTAATTGACTCCTAAACAACATTTTACATGTTGCAGAACATCGCCGTTATGTTTCATACTTATGAAGCAAGTATTAGGTCACATGTTATTTAGTAGTTCGTTGAGGATCATGTGTAGAAGGGGAAGTTGTTGGTTGTTTAAATTGTCGAGTATTTACATGTAACAAATTGTATTGGCGCCCATCTAAATTAATAACATCACATTTGCACCGAATCGATCTTATATTTGCCTACAGTTCTCATTTTATTCAGAATTGATGAGTTATTCGAATGGTCCAAGTGCTCGGCTTTCAACCATTGATTTTCGAGTATCAATGCAAAGGTTGAACTTGATAGTTTCAAATAAATTGAGCATTGTCTTTATTTATTTAAACATAAACATTAGTACAAGGAGGCACCAAATAGATGTGCGCCACGTAGACCATTCGATTTGTGTGAAAGCCGGGATACCGTTTAGGTGCCCAAACCGAAGCAGGTGGTTTTCTTAGGGGTCCTACCCAAATCTCAATTAATAGGAAACCTATATTTCTGACGTTTTGTGATTTAATGTAAATCACTTCTTCAGAGTGGATGAACAACGGAATTGATTGTACCAAAAATATTCTGCATTGTTCCCTTTGTTTAATTCAGTTATTTATTTACTCTAACGAAGTGGCTTACATTAAGTCACGAAACGTCATAAATACAAATTTTCTACCTATTGGGATATAACAAAAATAGATTTATTATTTGTTTTCAGTCTCAAATTGATACTCTGCACATTTAGGTTTAATCATCAGTTTGGCGATATAAAAACACTCACAAGTCGTTCAACCTAAATTTGGTTGCACAAATTCATGCTTGTTTGTTGAATTGAATTAGTTGCTACTGGTTATTCATAATGAATTTGAAATAACTCAAATGCATGTAATTGCTTTAGCCTACTTATTCTTTGGTGTTCGTTCATGAAGCTGACTTTCGTAATGTTATGTTTGATTTTCTGAAGTTGTTGCATTCAGTGATATTGTTTACGAGGAGATCAAGGTTACACTTTCTATTCAGCGTAAACGATTGTATTTATTTCGTGATTGAAATGCACTTAGAATGAGCAGCTAACGTTCGTATCTTAATGGCTCAAGAACCCAGTTGTAGGGAACTTTCCATTTAGATGAAAAAGTATATTCCTTAGCAATGGAACCTGGAAAGCTTGGTTTTCTCATTGTCCGATGCCTCCTAGTTCAGGAAAATAAGCCATTCGTAAGATATTCGTGCTTGATCACATCTCTTCGCTACGTCAAGTCCGTGTAGATGAAACTGAAATAAGACTACCTTTGCTTTTAAATTCAGCTTTAAGTCATAATTAGCGATTGCCAGTGTCTTTAATCATATAGTAGTTATCTCCAAAGTCACTCATGTTGAGGGGATTAATGAAATTTTTTTGCAGTATACTTGCGATAGTCTGAGTATACTAGTAGTCACCCAATTAACTGATTCTTAATATCAATGCTTTAATTGTTTAATCTGCCAATATTATTGTTTCCTTAATCAAAAAGTCAAGTGAGGAAATCAATCGCGTTCATGGTGCATCTATTCCTGATGTTACAAAATCTGTCATGAATTTGCAATCAGCTCCCGCTAATGGTTCATCCAATGATCTTTCATCACGTCTTCACTCTTTAATTAATAAGGCACCTGTCATGCTTTTTATGAAGGGTAGCCCCGAAGAACCCCGATGTGGATTTAGCCGCCAGATCGTCAGTATTTTGCGTTCTAATAATGCTAAGTTTGAAACATTTGACATCTTACAAGATGAAGTGGTTCGACAAGGTTCGTTCGAATTTTAATCAACATTTAAGTTTCCTGTTTTATTGAATATGGATTTAAAATGTTTTTTTTTATTAGTTTAATGTGTGAAGTGGTTTTGTAGTATTTCGAACTTCAATTGTCCTCCCAGTACCAGCACTTATGTTTCCAAACAAATCTCACTTTTTTGTCGTTAACAGATAAGTAGCAAGTACCTAAATGTATTTGTTTATTTTATCTGACTTCATACATTCTGAGCACACAGTGATTAACTGTTGCCACAAACACTTCAACCAGTGTTTATGCATACAAAAATCATATCATCTGAAGGAATGCTCACTGAAACATTTTAAGTCGTAGTTCTATGGGTCTAGTACGTGATATATTTACTGAACGTACAAAGTTTCATTTTTGTCGGTGCTGGAGCTCGTGAGTTGGGCTAATCTTTTTAGAGTTGTTGCTTAAAATTAGCATTTCAAGAATAATATATCAATCAACTGCTTTACCTATAGTTGATTGTACATATACGTTTTGCGAAACAGTTATAAATGTTTAGTGGGAGAGGTATTTAACTGACTACAATAACGATACATTTGTGTTCATATAACCCGTTTGTTTTTCATGTTTCATTCGTAACATGTAATCTTTTTTATGCCTTATATAGATTAGCTAACAGCCCTAATATCCACTTGTAAAATTTTAGAGAAATCCTTAAAAATATAATAACTAAGAACGTTGTTAGTTATAGAATGCTCTATGATAACGTTTATTTGGTTATAGCAGACGAATAGACAAAATAGTACCATTTGATAAATCTAAACGTAAAGTTTCTTTTGCTTGATAGTTTCTAAAGCCCGTTCTACCCTCCATCGTATTCACTAATTATTGTGATCATTCCATCACCTTTTGATCCTATTCTGTGAATATTCATGCTCCTTACGGAGTCTGATATGTTAGTAAACCGTACCTAGCGTGGGAGTTATAGTAGTTCGAGATTGAAAAATATGTATAGATATTAAGATGTGATTTTGGGAATCACGGATAAAGCTTTTGGATCAAATCTCATGTAAGTTTAGTTAAATAGGTCAGTCTCTCGACTTTCGGTTGTTATGCCACAAGTTTAAACCCCATCCTATCAAGTGCGACTAAAACCTGGACTTATATTACCATACTTGAGTCACCAATACTTCACTATTTCTCTAACTGTATCAACTTATTTTTGTAATTCAAATTTCGGTTGCGAAAATTTACAGTTTAATTCATTGATAACTTGACAGAAGTTCTTATTTGTTTAAGCTTTCCTCATAAGATTTTAGCCAAGTAGGAATTCATATATTAGTCTTCAATTATTTCCTGTCAGTGATGAGCTAGAGGATCCAGCAGATACTTAAACTGAAAGTGAAGTAAGGTTGAAACCCACTATTTAGTAATTGAAATTCCAGTCCACCATTGGGTTGCAACTTGGTTTCGTATTACTGAAATACCTTGACGATGTGTTCCAGTTTTCGTTTTTTTTCGTTGTAGGTTTGAAGTCCTATTCCAATTGGCCAACTTACCCACAATTATACGTGAAGGGCGAGTTAGTGGGTGGCGTGGATATCGTACGAGAGTTAGCCGATTCAGGAGAGTTAGCACAAATGTTGATAGTTCCGTGAATGTGGCAACTAAAACACCTTCTTTCTTCCAAATCTCTGCCATTTATTGTATTTTTAAATGTAATATAACCTTATTGAATTGGAGTCTTCATTTTTTGAATTTGTGGATAGTATCGGCTTTTGATTTTGTTTACCATTAATTGTATACATAAAATATTTAGATATGTAAGTATGCTTACTACGTTAACCAATAACAATCGACGCAACCCATGTGTTTGATCCACTGACATAAAAAATTTTTATCTATCAAAGATAATTTTTTGTGTGAAACTGTACTCAACGTTTATGAAAGCAATAAATCAGAGGTAAGTAAGTTTGCTACTCTGTTATTCAAAGTTAAGTCTTCACTTCCCTACCATATGTTTGAAAGACCGGAGTTCAATATCATAATAGCGTTTTAATCCAGTTGTCTCGTTAATTTTTAAGCGTACCTGTTTCGATAGAATTAATATCAAAGTGGTGTTCAATATAGATAAAAGAGTAGAAGTTTGACTAAAATTTTATGCTCTGTGTTACAGCTGAAACGACAATTATCATATACTACTGCTACTGTTACGATTTTTATCATCTCATTCTGAGTAGATATATTGTCAATTAACTTATCGCTAACATAAAAAATTGCTAAAGGTTCATTTGCTATTACTAATGAAATTATATTAGTATAACTCACACTGAGTGAATCCACGTAATCTCAGGTTTTTGCCAAGCAATCTTGTGTCCTGTCTGTAAAATGTACTGACATCGTTGACTTATTTTCAAATCATTTAATGACTTAGCAATGTTTCAGGCACCGTCTGATTCCTTTTAGCCTCATGTTACAAGTTCAACAATACTAGAAATGGTTCAGTTGATTTTACGGATACATTTTTCTGTCCTTTGATGTCGTCATCCTTGACTTTTACAAATCCAAAGTTCAGGTTATCTTTTGCTCGGAATTATATCTGAATATTATGTTTATTTGGGCTTCTAGTTTCTTTATGGAGTAAGATGACCAGAGTGGTGATCCTGTTCGTTGGGTAATGTTCGATTTTTATCACACTTTCAATTAATAAAATGAATGTTTAAACAGGTTATGAATAATCGGGAGAATTGAAGATCCCATATCAATGCTTGTTTATCTGTATAGATTTCGAAGTATGTATAATGTTAACCCAAGAGATTACATCATCCTAATAATCTAAAGTGGGTATAACGGATGAGCTAAATGTAGAGGTATATTAGATTCTGAACGTCCATGTATGATGTCGGACGCTCTCGGCGCATCAACAAGGAAGCGTGTTGTACATTATTACTTCAGTAAACGGATGTCACTAATGAGGAAATGAGCCAACGAAATAATTACGTAAAGATTAAACAGTCATTATTTTAATATATCACCGTTCTTATGAACGTACCAGGCTACGAAATAAAGCAAAGCAACATCTTGGAGATGAACATTATCGAGAAGTCAGTGAAACTAAGTGTGGAGCCATACACTAAACAGACCAAGGGTTGGTGATAGTAAGATATTACAAACCATAGAAATAAGATTAGAACTCTCATGATCAAGTAGTGTGCAACTTCGGTTAATTTTCGTTAATGTAAATGACAAACAATGACAATGATAATAACAGGTACATTGATCTTAAAATGGACTAAAATACTCATTACCAACTGAACTGCTCATTTCATTCGGGTAATTGGAATAATTCCACTGCCATTTGGGCATGTTCAGTGTGGGTACACTGTGATTAAATATTTAAATAAAATTGCATTAAGAAACTGATAATTAAGAGAGGAAAGTAGTTGTGGAATGCAAACCTGAAAAGTAACATTTGCTTGCAGCTTGGACATTGTTCACAAGGATGTACATTTCTTTCGAATTGTTATTCCTTAATAACAATGATAATATAAGAATATGTCATTTATTTTGACAGATCAAGGTAATAGTTTGTATTTGTTTTATATGACTGTATATGTGCCAAGAAGAGGGAGTGAGCCATGGCTCAATCAAGCTTAATTCTCAAATAATTTGATGTACGGATGGATTGAAAAGAAAGCTATACATGCATGCACCTTCCTTAGAAATGTTAAATCATTTCTTTGGATTTTTGGTGTCACCAGTAATTCATCTGGTTTACATAATACTTCCGAGTGTGTACATAATGTGTGACAGCGTATATGTATGAGTAATAGTAATTAGATAAAACTTTTTTCGGTTAGAAGGGTTTTATTGCTCTTCCTCTTCTTCCTCATCGTCTTCTTCAGATTCGTCAGTGACTACCACATCAGCTGTATGAGCAGCTGGTACATTTTCAAATACTCCACTGTGTGGGCATTGTTCTTGCCATATATCAATCTGAAACATAATATTAGTATAAAGTAAACAGTTATTAACTGATAGCTAAGTCCTTCCAAAAAATCTTAAGAAATCAACCATAAAAGAAGTACAATCCGATGATATCTCCATAATTTGTAACCGGCTGACTACATGCTCACTCACGAATAATCCGTTACTTTCAATGGTGACTTAATGAAGTCAGATTTTAATTTGCCATTATCCGGGTATTTTAGTGAATGCTTTAGTAGGTGAAAATATATGTATCACGATAATCTTCAGGGAATTCAAATGATTAAAAACATGGAACCTTATTTAACAGTGAACGGTATTCAGTTAATTTTTACTGTCTATCGTTAACAGTGATTTCTTGGTATATGTATAGTTGGAGTTAAACTGAATTAAATCCTATCATAAACCTTATGCATGTGATTTAGTACGACGATAGTCATTTACTAATAGACTACATACTGTTAACATGCTAATTTACGACACTTTACATTTACGTACTGTTATAGATGAAGATATCAGTTAAGTCTATAATCCTGACAAACAAGTGTTTACAAATACCCTCACACAAATCTAGTGTTTCTGAAGTTATAGTTATCCGGTTTGTTTTCGTCTACACTATGGTAATAAGAAAGTCTAAAGACTTGTATCTATTGGGTCAATTAACGTGTTAATTACATTGGTATGAACAATTAAATATCAACATGATCACTGAAAGCATAACTAAATTTCGTCTCTATGCCCCTTATGACCATTTAATGTACCACTCTTATACTGTAAATTATAGTGTATTGCCAATGATTCGTGAAAATAAAACCCTTATATTACTAGTAGTATCCGGAAGAAAACACCGTGAAAGATACTGAGGTAAAGTGTTTATCAGAGAGGAAAATTATCATGAGATAGTGGAGAAGATTTGTAGCTCAGGTGGATGATATTGATGGAGTTTTGTTCTCTGAGCTGGATGGTTTTGGTCGTGGAGCTTTCATCGTTCTTCTGAACGACATCGCCAGCACAATCGACCAATCAGGAAAATTATGCACAAATATAGGAACAAAAATCAAATCAATGGGAGACAATCAAAACAATGACAAATTTAAGGTCAATAAGAACCAATCAACATCGAGGTGTACAGAACAAGTTATGAAACGCATATGGAGAAATTCGAACACTTGACTTCTGTCTGAAGTTTGAGCTGATGGTGTCGTTCAGAAGAACGATGAAAGCTCCACCACCAAACCATCCAGCTCAGAGAACAAAACTCCATCAAGAATAATTATCTGATGGAGATTTGACTTTTCCAACAAAACAGAAGTATGGTCTGGAGTATGTTTAGTCGTTCTTTAACCCCAAAACTTAATCCTCAGACTAATTAAGCAGCACTATTCAATGGTGGATACACACACACACACGCTAAAGAAACGTATCAACTTACAATATCTGGTCGACTTTTGTTCTTCGCAGCTTCTTCTGCTTGTTTCTGACGTTCTAAGAAGGCTTGTTTGGCTTGTGTAGTATATCGTGCTTGTTTGGGTGCACCATCACTATCACCATTTGTATGACCATCTTCAACCAATAAAATAGTCTGAATGATATGTAAAAAATAGATGAAATCATTTTGAAAACAGAAAAAATGTAGAGGATGCCTATTATTTTTAATAAGAGCAAATGAGGATATCTTTAAAAGATCTTTAATGCTGACTATTATGTTGTTAGTTAGTATTAAATAGTGACGATAGTTATACTTAAAACAATTCAACATTAGGTACTGTACCATGTAATAATGTGTTCCAGTCAAAATTAAGAATTAATAGGTGAATTTATTACATGTCATTAGAAATCATTTATTTCAAATGTCAATTCTAACTAGCGTGAACATATCTTCACACAGAATACGGCTGTTTGTATTGGATGTAATATGTGCAGTAAAGTAACAAATAATGTATTTTATTTCGATAGAGTCGCTGTAAATTATGTGAAATGAACATATTTTCATCCTGAACATTTTATACGAAGTTGAAATACGATTGAACTTGATAGAGATGCATTATTTTTGAAATCATTGTTCTAAGCACTTTACATAACTCGTTAGAGCTATCTTCCGTTGACCATTATTTATATGATGTAAATTACAATGAAATGTTAACCGTCTCCGGAAAATTTCATCACGTTGATTTCTCACTATTTAGGTTAGTGATTTTATCACATGCATTCTACCAACATATATAGCCCAGTGACAATGCTGATGATCATCCGATATAATTATCTATAAATATATGCAGATATATAGGTATATCCAATTAAATAAATATCTGGACAGGTTTGTTACTACTGTTACATGGAGTTTGAATAAACAAACCTTTATTATTATTATTATTATTATTATTATTATTATTATTATTATTATTATTATTATTATTATCATAATTAATCCAACACAAAATGTTTACCGTTGCGTTCGATATTCACATGATTTTAGTGTGCTAATTCCAACTCACTGCATTTCAGCGATATATTCTTAACCCTGCTTATATGACCTTTCAGCTTTACAAATGATACATTTCGTAAGTACAAACATAATAGTCCACCATTTTTAACATGTCTGCTTCAACCATACCTTACAATATGTATGCTTTATACTACTCATTACAATACAAAAATTATGGACTGATGA